TGCTGAAAAACATCAGATTTGACAAGTTGAGAATGGTCAAATAAGCCTATTTTATACGCAAGAAAGTGCTTTTCTCGTATATTTTGAATTTATCTGCACCTTGTTGAATGGGGTTTAATGAATTTTTTTGTCGTTTGCATGTAGGCAGCCATGCGAGTGCACGCGAGACCGAACCACCACGAGTGGAGGAGGTTGTTGCTGATGCCTCAAGTCAAACAGAAGTCGTCAAAGGTGTGGTATCCTCTTTCGAATTGTTATTGCATTCCTAGTTCGTTTGCGTTGGTTCGGCATGTCTTTATGCATGTGCTCATAGACTACCTATTCAGCCGTATTAATTGATATTCAAGGCACTGACAGCCAAATTATACTAACAGGTTTTAGACTTTTGTTCATTGGCTGTTACCTAGACACGACTGAAAAGTTATTCTAAGCTACTCTTTCTACTGCAGGAAAAGGTAAGGCACCCCCATTCTCAAATCCTTTAAAGAAGGCGATCGACGTGCTTCATACTCCATTTACCCCGCTGTAGATTCCTCTAAAAGATGCCGGAGCTCTTCTGATTCGTGGATTAGTGGGATTAATCTACCCCGGTTTTCACATCAGAGTACGTTACTTTAAATTAATTTTTTTACTCGAAGAAACATTAGTTTTCTCTCGCTTTACACCTTGAGGTATTCGGCTTATTTCTTGCAGAAGATGGATGCTGCCTTACTATTAAGCACAGAGAATAATACGTTAATTGTGTTGCTATTACTTTACTCAACCATCAGCAAAAGTTAAGTCTACCCAATGCCCATTGTTTGATATTGAAAGTTCCCGGACCACCTAGACTTGTTTTTCAGCTTCATTGTTAGACGTGAATTAGAGTATACGTAGGCATCTAAGAGTCCTCCATTTACTTAACAAACAGTGGGTAAATGTGATAGCTTATTAATTACGTAACACTTATGTGTCCCTAGGTGTGGCAGAAACCCCCTCCACCAAGATGACCACCAATGCGTCAAATCAGACCGATACACCGGGTAATAGTTCTCTCGTACTGCATTGATAGCAATTTATACACCTACCTGCTGATAACCTCACCCGTATTTGTCTCAGTTTATTCTTGCAACTTCATCAGTTGGTGCCTCATGTATTTCTATCCCAGCGCCTCATATCGAAGTGACGGGTCAAGCTTACAGTGGGAAGGTGGTACGTTGACGGGGTCATATTATTATCTTCTTTTTTGAAAAACTATTTGGCGTTAAAAGTGTGTACTACTTGTGTTCTTTTAGAACTTCAAACGCGCCTCTAGACCAGTGTATTCGAGGAAAGTACGCAGTAGGTTCCACTTTTTTTAATCCTTCATTCCATAAGGTCAAAGTTGGATGTGTGTATGAGCAACCGTCCAAGGTACGAATTAGTGATGTATTTGATTTTTGGGCAGTTTGATAAGTTCGTGATGTGCGATACTTGAGCTAGAGGATCCTAAAGTAAACAATATTGGTCAGCGGAGCCCGAAAACAGGATACAGATTGGTGCTAGATGTCAAGGAATATTCCATAGATCGTGTAAGATTAGTGTCACCCTCTTTCTTAACGTTTCATCGAAACATTTCGGATGCAATAGTTACGGATTTGACAATGATCCTGGGTTAAGATGATTGTAAAATCATCGCAGTATGAGAGAATTCCTTGGAAGATATCTTATTTTCGAGGTTTATAGAGCGCTTTAAAGAAGTGCATATTAAGGCGAGGAGTCATTTACTGGCTACCGTTGGCTTTTGATGCTTCGATGAAAAGAGGAGCCTATTTCACTCCTTCCATAGAAGAATTCACTTATAATTTGCTTTGTTGCCTTCCAGAAATCTTGCTCGATGAAAGCGTTTTGGAGACACCTCAACCCGTTTCCCCTCGCTGTGTCTGGCCATCGCCTCTGCGCCGCTCGGGCTCCTTGGGCTACACCTGCCCCTCCCTCTCCGCCGTGCCACTCGTGGAGACCAAATCGAAGAACACCTTCTGTAAGTTTCCTCCCTAGCTCACATTCACGGGTCATATCTATTTGAACCGATTTGCATCGAATTTCCCGTTCACGCCCTCTTCAGCCTCCAGTCGCGTCTCGAGACTGACTGGCGCCTCCTCGGGGACATTTCGGTCTCTTGCGGGCTCGCAGCGTCGGACCATCACACACCAGGAGATAAGGGAAATTGAGGAGAAGCGTAAGTTTGAACTGATGACTGAATTATGGAGTGGAGAGACGCAACTGACATGGACTTGTGATTTTTAGTGTTGGATACCTCCGCGGATGTGGTGGAAGACCAACCCAATCCTCAGATAACCATGTCTAATGGAACCACCTTAACTCGGGTAAGGCTTGTGCCTCTTCATTCCCCTGTGTGAGGAGTGCGTGAAATCGGCCGTAACTTCTAATATAAACTTGCAGTCCCCGGAAGTACTTGGCAAAAACTCAGGCAAGAAGTGCCGTAAATATGCAAAGCATATACCATACCGTAATGATTATTTTCATGCGCCCAACAAGAGGCGATGGAATCGAGGGAGAAGGCAGTTTTAGGCATTTTTCCCGATCCGAAAGAAGTCAGCCTTACATATTGGCAAAAGTGGTTCTACCTGGTCTATCTCCTGCCACTCTAGCATATTTCACTTGATACAAGATTATTAGACAGACTCGGCACTTAAAAACATTGGAAATTTCATGTTTGATGACCTAATATCTAACATTTTGTTTGAGGCATTAATTAAACGCATTTTAACTTTTTGACTTTGTTTCATAAGGAAAAGGAATCAGCAAAATCAGCACCCCCAGTGACTCTCCCTAATGACCTCTCCTTGTCGGCATCCTGTCTGGACCGAACTATACTTCAGGACATGGTCTTGATGCCCCCTCCGCTGCCTCCACTGCCACTGAAACATCGCCATGGAGCGTTTACGGGTGAGACGGGAGCGGTGGTGGCAGCGACAGCAGCTTCGCCGTCATTCTCCGCACCTACCTCCTCAGTGGCTACCGGACGGCGTCGTAGTGTTCAGTTCGCTCCTTTGGCTGGTGAGTTTTTCCAATAGGGCAATTAACCTCCCGTTCGCATTTATCTTGATTTGATCGCTACATGCAGAGGTGCTGAGGCAAAGTCCCCACGGCCAATGGAGTCGACTCTCGGTGGGTCTGACGGACCAATTGGATCTGTCCCCAATTCCCAAGTCTTGTGAAGGGGGTAAGCCAGCAATACCGTGCATTTGTGCGAAATCTACAGTCCTTGCGTGAGACAATACTTTGTTATTTTAGTTGATGAGGTAGATTCATCGACAGATGATTCGGGTGATTCTTCGGACCTTTCCTGCTTTCCGGTTGAAGAGAACGATGAGGCGGAACCGCGTGATACTGTATCTCCCATACCGAGTTCCTTGAATCGCTCAAACGTGTCTTGCCATCTTTCACCTACAGGTAACATGTTACTAGCTTGTCAAAAAGTCATGGTTTTGTAACAATGGCTTGATCATCAATATGTGCCCTCTTAGCCGTGGAAGTTTTGAACCGCTGGAGAGAGGATCAATCGATACTGGTGGAGGCGGAGGAGGAGAAGATTACCGAGAGAACTTACAGTAATTTAAATAATTTATTCGTTTACACGTCATATCTGTATTTACTGATATTCTTACATCAATGGTACGGTTTCTCTTCTCCAGTTGAAAGCTTGCTTCCCGGGGGTGAATCATTGACACCAGAGCAGATGAAACGTGTGGTATGTGTGGTGCTATTAATGTTCTTCACTTTCCACTTTGTCTCCCCTAAAATATGCCCCTCCCCCCCAAGCGGACAATTTGGGTTTAAAATGCTTTTTTTTCAGTTGGGTTGTCTCCAACCTTCTGAGCCGTCTCCTGACGCCACTCCTTGTTCATCACGTGAGTTTCTTTCTCCACTTAGCACATTGGAAACGACCTTATAAATTCTTGCGTAATTTTTAAACCCCATATCCACACAGATCCCAATGTGAGGTCAAAATTAAATGAGAAGACCTGTGAGGTTGACCCCAGTATGACATCTCTATCGCAGTGGCTACCGCCACCTAGTGAGGGCAAGGTGTATGACATGGATGCCGTTGGAAATGCTCTTCGTCTAATGCTTATGGGGTGGGTGGAACCTCAGGATCCCGTCTTTATTCCTCTCCGTGAGTGCTCTTGTGCGCATTACCTTTTGCAAACTGGTTGCCTACCTTCATCCTCTACTTACTTCTGTGCATTCCTGCGTGTTCTTTGTGGTAATTGTTTTAAGACGATGGCAACTAGCGCAACGGTGCAGGAATATGGAGGTTCGCATCTTACTTTTTCAAGTTTTTTTTTTGTCTGTAACTAACCTAACAGCCAAATCGGCCTACCAGCACCACGTGAACGCCGGGCCCGGGCTGCGTCGGAGCACGCGCATTCGAGTTGCACCGCCGCGCGACTCCTACGAGCGAGTGTACTATGATGTTCGCCCCAACCCCACCACAGGTCGGCTGGAGAGGATACCGTTGGGGTACCTTCGTTATCCCAATCAGAAGGAGGTGAGGAGACGCCAACAGCTACTCAAGAATCGACTCCAGGTAGATGACAAGGACACCGCAGCTGTGAGGAAGCGCGCTCGTGATGCTAGGCTTCACCGATTGGCGGCGAAGAGACGACGCGTGTTAGGCCTTTCTGATGGTACTTTTTCTCACACTAGCTCTCCACTCTCTAAATTCGGCGACCCTGTTACCAATCAGAATTGTATTTTGCCCTTCTGTAGCTTCTCACCACTTTGGCCGTTCGCAGGTGATAGTGTTGGAATCAGATGTGACTTGGGTGAAGGATGGCACGAACAGCCTTCCAATCGGCCAGCTCATCAATTCCAAGGGACCATCAAATTTACGTGAGCTTATTTGCACTGTATCTGTTCGACTTGCTGATGAACAACTCATTTTCAGATTATCTAAGGTTTTGTTGACTCTTCAATAAACTTTATTTACCTTGCGAACGTTCAAGTCTGTCTCGATGGTATCATATGTGAGCATAACGAACGCCTGTCAACTCAACAAAAAAGAATTTAGTTTGGCTGTTAAAACCTCAAAACGATTTTGTGAAATAGCCTTCAAACACGGTGTGAGCTTAGAGGTTCAAGTAACGTGAAATGAATTCTTCCCTCTTTCAGCCGTGGTCTTTGATTCACTAAATGAGGCACAATCGCATCTAAAGGGCGGTGTTATCCAGAGTCTCACGGAATGCGAGATTGAGCCGGGCTCCGGCCTCTCTCACGTGGGTCCATTCGAGCAGTCACTGCACGACATCACCAACGTCATCTCTGTTGAACAGAAGCGTCGTGGTCTGCATTTCGACGCCAAGGCGAGCAACCTTTTTACCCTCCGATTGCAAAATCCGGACGAACTGACGTCGAAGAATCCTCTCCTGGCGGCGCAAAATTGGCACTT